ACATTTCTTTTCACAACACTGGAAATATCTGTGTAGCGAAACCCTACAAACCTCCTACGACATACAGTTGATTAAATAAGCTACAGTTTTATACCCCTTCGTAAAGCACTAAGAAATAAGTATGCTATATGCTTAACTAGACGTGTTTTGGTGCTTTTTCCCTTTCTACACAATATTGAACGTACATGTATATATAACAAAGCTGGAGGTCATACCGTGGCCTTCCACAGTATATATTATTATAAGACTTACTTGTTAATGTAATGAGGATGAGGCATGATAAAATCCCAGAATTCTTAAGGGTGTGGCAACCATTCTACCATCATTGTATATGTAGAAAACCATACCGTATACAAAAGGCACACATAAATGCCGATATTCAAACAGCCAATAATATCTGTCAGTCACCTCATGCCAATTTTACCCTTATCCCGGTAATACTTATATCATTGTTAATGGTGTTCCATGAAATGATATATTTCCAAATCCACAGCATCTCAAAGTTTCAGCAACACTGTCACCATGCTGCAAGGGTCCATGATTATTCAGTTGAAGGTAAAAATTGATTTATGAATGGCCGCACGGACTTACCAGGCATCACCCTTTGTTGTGATGAAAATTCAGGTAATTTACAATGTACCTATGGCCTTCCTCTCTCTATGAATAACTCTCTAAGACTCGAATGAGCTGAAAACTAACTGCGCAATTTTCACCTTGCTACGTTGAAAAACGCCTTATGGTGACAGTAAAAAATTATCCCGCGACAAAAAAGCGCCAGGGCCTAGCAGGAGATTGAATATTAATTGCATCATTTCCACTTCGTTAAACACAAAGAAACTAGTAAATATTGCATTTTGGAGAATATCTATTGGAATATCTGGTCACTTATGCGTCAATACGGAATACTGACGAAACGGTGTTCACAGCATTTAATAGTCTATTCACTAAGCCTTGGACATAACTTTGCCCATGACTTAGCTACTGCGAGGCTTAATGATTTGCCCTTAGCATGAATACTTCATAACTGCTGTAACAGAAACTGAATTTAGTTTTAAAAGATAACGCATGCTTATTTGGTTGGCTACCAAATACCATCAAATCTGACTCATTTATCAGGTTGAAAGTGCACTTTCTGTGAACACGAAATATCCCATTGCCTTTTTTTACTGCAATCAAGTCACACAAACAAACAATCAGAAAAACATCCCGTAAAATACCGGTAGACAATACAGGAGCATCGATAGGCTAATTGAGAGTGCACTGGTCACTGATAGACATGAATTTACCCGTGATATATATACACCCAGACAAGTAATAGATACCTTTATTCAAACCGGTTATCATTTTTATTGTGAGCAGCGTTCCTTCAAAGGATTTAGAATCAAACCCACCACACTTCAGAGTCTCGTGAACCTTGAAAAATAAACCTGCCATCATACGATGGTTATATTAAAGGCTCCAGTCTCTGATATCTGTTACGTCACGAAATGCATACCTTTTTCCCGCTTAACTCATTTTACAAAAAAATTATCCTGAACAGTGTTCTGCTATGTAGAGATTTATAATAGGTACAAAGAAGTTGAAATTTTAGGATTGATAGACCAACCATTAAAAATACAGATGTTCCCGTTGGAATTTTAGTTTGACTGCGGGTTAGGTTGTCCTTCAGAAGTGGATGATTGTGAATATTTATTATTACACATTATAATTTTTGCTAACTCCTCCGAGACCATTTGAGTGTGGAAGGTAAAAATTTAGGTATGTACAGACATATCGTCAGAAATGTGCATGGATCCTTCAGAATTCATTTTCCACATTGTAATTTCAGCTTTCTACTCCCAGATAAAAAAGTGAGGAACTTAAAACTTCTTTGATAGACCTATCATCAGGCATGTAGTTGGGCGCTGCAAATATATGTTCGCGCAGGGGTTGGGCAGTCTTTAGGTAGATGATTCTTCCTTGATACATTAGACATTTTTCCATCAATACTTTTTAATGGTGAAATTGTAATGAATATTTTCAAAAAGCATACGTAAAAGACGTAGGCATTGCTATAGATCTGAAGGGAATGCCCCCGCCCCCCCCCCCCCCCCCCCATATGCTGAGCTTCTTTTTACAATGTTGAGAAGTGCGGGGATATGAGATGAATATCTATCAACTCACCTAGTTGTCAGTGGATACATCGAGTTATATAAACTGTGAATTTTCACAAATCTACTGTATATGTATGTGTCATACTTTTAATAAGATAAACTGTATGTTGGGGTACATGAATATGTACAAAAAAGNCGTTTTTGAAAAACGACACTAGTTTCTGGTTGCTAGAATCGTTTTTGAAAAACGACACTAGTTTCTGGATGCCAGAATCGTTTTTTGAAAAACGACACTAGTTTCTGGTTGCCAGAATCGTTTTTGAAAAACGACACTAGTTTCTGGTTGCCAGGTTCGTTTTTGAAAAACGACACTAGTTTCTGGTTGCCAGGTTCGTTTTTGAAAAACGAAACTGGAAACTAGAAACTAGACACTAACTTCAGCGCTCTGTACAAAAAAGCCTTTTTTATGATATTTCAAGGAAGTATATTTTGCTGCGCCATGTAAACTCACCATTCCCCTTTGATGTGCTCGGCGTTTCTTGTCAGCCGGACTTTTCTTCCCTCAAGTTCACACTCATATACATAGTGTCACAAGTACACGCCCCTGCGAACTTGTGGGGGGTCAACTCTATTTAAACAAGAAGCAACTTCTTGATTTAAATGGGTTATGACGATCTCTCAGACAATAAAGAATCTTATTTCTTCACTCCCTAATGTCGTCTTGCTGTGACTCTTATTAGTTGTAAATCTAACTGCGCAATTCCATGTCACCGAATTGGAAAAAACGGTCACGCAAATAAAAGCCCATAACAATCAAACGTAGTATTGATTTTAGCTATAGCGCTTGGAAATTTTCCTTCACAAAGCACACACAAATAATACCGTACACAGGACGCATTATAGAAATTATATGAATCTATAATGTGTTGTAATATTGAAGTTGGAGCATTTTGTAAATGCAAAGAATGGTTTTTAAGACGAACAAAGAGCGCCTGACATCAAAAGATGAAAATGCATGCCTGCAACAACGTTTTCCTATTTACCCTGAAATTTACACTCACGACATCTTTTGAAAAGGGTTTATAAGTACAATATAGAAAAGACTGTGCACGCGTGAAAACCGTGCACGGCCTATTGACATTTCATTATCGATTTAACGTGAAAGATGTCGATATCCTTACCACAAATATATTCATTTCTGATCACCATTTTTAAATAATTATAGCTCTTTTTCTAACCAAAAAAACAACCTTAACATCAACAGCGATTTCCAACAGACCCCTGTACCATATTTCCTCTTCCTTTTATTGCCTTTATTCGATACCCCTTCACAAAGATATTTCCCTGACCAGTGTTCTTCGAAGAGTGGTATAATCAAACCTACCGCTCTTCACATTTACTACATGTAGCTGTTTTTTTTTTCAAAAGTAAATATAATTTGACATCGCATGGTCCCTGTCTAGTTCAGTTGATTGAGGAATTCATATAAGGATTACCGGAGGCTCTGCCAGTAGATCTTTCTGTTGCAATAAGCCTTAGACAGTTCACATCCTGCTTCCTCCCCCCTAGTGTTCTTCCAGTGGAGGTGTGTTGCCAACCTTATTGCACAATTTTTCACTGTCGCGCTGGAGAAACAGCCGTCATCTCGATAACAGCTAAAAAAATATCCCCGGGGCCAAATCAGACCCACGACAAAGCAGTTGAGTAAATAGGGCCTACCTGTAGCTCAATTTAATTTTTCCTTTGCGAGCATGTTTTGCGCTTACGTAAACACCTTTTGTATTTATAGAGTCCCAGTCAAACACAAAGTCTCCCTCTGCAGTTTCTTTTCATGCAGCGGCGCGCTAAATATGTCACACAAGGAGAATGGTAACCCTGAACCACCTTATAACAATAATGGTGAAGTAGAAACGGGACTCGTTGTGCATTACACTAAGAACCCTGTGGATTTGAATGTAATAAGTAGATTTGATTTAGTATTAGGTCATGATTATGTATAGGCCTTTTGTTTTCAGTATCCTTCACAAAGACGCAAAAGCGTATTATTTATTGCACAAGTCAAGCGCTGTATTTTGATTGTTGTTAGTACTAGAGGTTTTTTTTTCTAGTTGAGAGTAAAAAGAAATTAATATATATTTGAAATGTTATTGATCTTATAACAAATTCAAATACATTTTGTACTAAAGACCAAAAATTATTCATAAATATATTTGTAGTAAAGTGTTCTCCTAACAAATTAAATGCAGATTGCACTTAAATTAAGATAAAAGAATAAAATACACGATTACATGAATATAATTGAAGAAATGCTGACAAGATATTTATCAATGTAACGGCTTATCTCGCGGTTCACGACGCCATGAATGAAATTTCGATATGCAATAACAAATAGCATGATATCAAATCTTAACTGCAGTTGATGTCATGTCCTTGTTCAATGTGCACGCTTTTTCTCAACCTGACCTCCATGGGTCAGTGCGGTAGTTGTGCCGTCCACTGATTTACAATGCTGTCGATTGTGATAGGTGAGATGTATACTGGTTCAACTCGTTTTACTCAATTCCATATTCCATAGCAATTAATCCAATAAAATGAATACCATATGTACATTTGATTAAATTAAGATACACAAGAAAGTTTGAACTGTAAAAAAAGGAAGGCCACGTGGACGGTAGGTTTAATTACTCTGTTTTGCTTGTTACACTGGTTTAGGGAGGGATTTTAATGAGTAGGAAAAGTCGGTGTTTGAATGTAAAGATATTTGCCAGTAGATCTGCGGTTATAATCTCATTAATATTTGGCTCACTACGGTTACAGCTACGTGCTCCTCCTCCTGTTTTTCCAATCACACATCTACGCATTCAATTATTTTGTCATTAACCTATATGTGTAACAGGATGTTATGTTTCAATGTTCGACCTACAGTCCACTCATAAACAGGATTTGAAAGAGTTAACTAGTCACATTGCTTCACCTGGCGGTCATACTCTATTTTTACTAGAGAGGAACAACCACCAAGTGTGCGTAAAATGAGAACATACATGTATATTTGGATGCCCATACTGGTCTGGATAGCGGTGACGAAAGAGGCAGTTGCATGTCAAAAAGTTGAGAGACCGGGTAAGATAGAGAACAAAAGTAATCTGAGAGCACGGGCAAAGCAATATACATGTAGATAGCCTTGATATCTAATTTGCAAACCCGGATTTAGGTAAAATTGCAGTCACCCCATGCCTATCACGCAAAGTGTGTAGGTTAAAAAATCACTACTTTAAGATATTCCTCTTAGACTGGGTTCCCATACCTAGATACACAAGGGGTCTCTCGCTAAATTGCTATCAGCTTAAGCAGCTTAGATGTCTGGCACGCCTACTGCAGCTGTTAAACGATATATAATTACCCCCTAGCAGATTCAGTAGGCGTGACAGACATCTAAGCCGCTTAACAGACATCTAAACAGACATCTAAGACATCTAAGCCCTTGGAGATGGATCGATCTGTATGGAGGGAAGAGCTTTGTTTCTCTCGAAATTTACTACTTAATTATAACAGTTACTGTAGATAGCCTGTTCTTACATGAATGTCATAAATACAATATGGGTTACCGCTAGAGTGTATGCATGAAGCCGTGACAAGACGTTTTGACAGGAAGGAGAGAAAATCCACATGTCATATATTGCTGCAATAAACGACATATGTATCGGCAGATACACTGCATTATAAATATAGCAATTCCTTGATATCCCCCAGATTGCTGCTGTCCACATCCAGACTGTGCCTCCATCTATCGGTCGGGCGTACATCAGAGCGGCGTTTACTGGCTCAGACCGTATGATAACAAAGGAGGGTTCTGGGCGTATTGTGACATGCTGACTGACGGGGGCGGATGGACGGTAAGACTCTCTCTCTCTCTCTCTCTCTCTCTCTCTTTTACACGCGCACGCACACTTACACACACGCACACACACACATCTGAATATAAAACCAGTTAATGATAATGGTTACAGTGGTTCAGTAGTTTTACAAATTACATATTGAATTTTCATTTGCTTTTTCCTTATAGAACTTCTTATAGCATCATTAATATGTCTTTATTTTGCGGGGTGGCAATTGAGATCATCCCACAAAAATAGTAAAGATGTTATCGAAATGCTCTCTTTTTAACTATAACGTAGGTTTTCCAGAGACGCAAAGATGGTTCAGTTGACTTTTTCCGTGGCTGGAAGGCATACAAAGAAGGGTTTGGATACCCCAATGGTGAACACTGGCTTGGTGAGAATTTGTGATCAAAATGGAAACGGTTTTGAGAAATAAAGATCTTTTGCGCTCACAAATGACAATGATTGTATTTGTGTGACACAGACTTGATAATAAATCTACAATATGAAGTAAAAGTTTAAGAGTTATTCATATAGTTTTGTTTTATTTTATGAGTAACCATTGTCATGCCTTTTAATTAAAAAATATATATATATTTGCCATTTATTGTTTTTACAGGCAACGAGTTCCTCCATCGCTTGACGGGACAGATGGTGTACGCTTTGAGAGTAGACTTGAGAGACGGTAACGGCACCGAAGCCTACTCAAAAACATCCCTCTTTAAAATCAGCGATGAGGCTGGGAAGTACACGCTTACCCTGGGGGACTACTCGGGAACGGCCGGCGGCACCTTGACCGGTAACGGGACCCCTTTCAGTACGAAGGACCGGGACAACGACGGTTCTCCCGTTAACTGTGCGTCCACCTACAAAGGTGCCTGGTGGTATACCGACTGTCATTCTACCAACCTGAATGGGCACTACTACAACGGACCGCACGACTCCTATGCTGATGGTGTGAATTATCGTACATTCAGAGGGTACCATTATTCACTTCCTTTCACTGAGATGAAGATACGTCCAGCCGATTTTTGAAATGATTGTGTTACGGATTGGAGCTTTTCATTACGAAAAATCAAGGACACTTTAAATAATGAACAGCAATGCAGATATGCCAAAGTTTTATAATTTTTTAAATAATGTAAACAAATTTACTGAAACTTTGATTTTGCTCTATAAGGTAATCATATCGAGTTTCAATGTTGAGGCGAAATGGTCATTTATTGCAAAATGACGAATTTAGAAAATATAAGTAACTGTGTACGATTAATACTGGTCTTTGTGTTCCTTGCATGCCTTATCTATCTCCATCTTACAAACACAATGTGCTAGTTGGTACGAAATTTTCTTAAGTCTGCAATTACAGACATTTATACAGCGGGTAAAATAAACGAAACGTGGTGATCTCGACGCACTGGAGACTTCGTCAATCCAGGTTGAATCAGCTACCGGTTTAAAACAGAAGACACTTATATTGCCTGTAAAACGAGTACAATGTATTCGTTAAAGTGCACCACTCTGAAAATTCAGTGGTGGCCTACAAAGGTCGGTCTTGGAGACTACGATAATACCAGGTGTCAGCACCACGGAAGTTGAAGATTAATACTATGAAAGGCTGTTAAGAATAAAAGCCGGAGAGGTTTCTTATTTATTTATTTATTCATTTATTTATTTTTGGTGGTTTCCCAGTGGAGATGGGGGTCACGGGGTACACCTCACTAAGCGTCACTTATCTAAATCATTTAATAATTATTTTTAGATTAAGGTTCCATCTAACGCTCGTGCTAGGGAGTCATGTTATTTTAATTACATGTACATGTAGGTCACTAACCGACCAATCAGATGCAGGTCCGGAAGTCGTAATTGTATGGCATATCCCCGACATATCTTGCTGTAGTATGCGTGCTATATACTGATAAGTTTTTGTGAAAATTCTAAATGGGTGTTCGTAAAAAATAAACCCTTTTTAATAATTGCAAAAAATGCAAGCCAAATGTGGCTTCGAAAAATCGGCATCATTATTTGTTTTCTCTACCGGGATTGGGGACTTCCAATTTCATGTCTTCGACTGATTTTAGCTAGCATATCTTAAATACAGGATAAAACCAGATCTTAATCAATACAATCAAGGTACATGCGACATGAAAACGGAAGATGGTAGTTCTACAAAAAAGATAAAAAAGGACTGATACCGTCAGTGTGTGAGGCAAGACGGCAAGCGTTGAGCTTTTCCCTCATATTGCTCCCTTAGGTTGCCAGATGAAGCTCAGTGCCGACGAAGGTGAGTCGTTGCAACTTAGCAAGATTTGCATTGCGGGTTTGAATGAATGTCTCAATATTGTACGCAGTAAGTGAATGAATGATCCAGCCCATCGTTAAATAATAGCTCTTCTTTTCAAGATATGTTCGCTATGCTTCGAAAAGCCCCCTTTGCACTTGCCGGCGTCCTTTCTGCGTCATTTGTTCGACCATGAATCTGGTATTGCTGTGTTCGTAGAGAGGAGGCACAAGCATCGATTTGGTTGCAACATGAATGCTCAATGAAAGGCCAGTTGTCGGCACATAAAGTATTTTTTATCTCAGACGGGGCCGAACTACGGGGCACAGAAAAGACGCCGACCAGTGTAAAGGGGGCTTTAGTATACATACAGGCAAAAGAATTAGCACAGTTTCAAAAAAAGTTTTTGTTTATATTTGTACTAGTACAAGGGGAAAGAGTAAGTTGGCTTAATACTGAGTTTATGGTGTTAGGGTCTTCTCAGGGTTAGACTACAGTTAACTGTATGTGGCCAACGCTGGTTTACTCGTTGAGAAGATACTGTCGGCTTATGGAAAGTCATCTATCTAGGCGGTTTTTATTCCGTATTAATAGTCTTTCCAATTAACGACCGAAAACAACCTCATACCAGTTATTATCTGAAATCCTAACCTTGTTAAACCAAAAAATAATGCTTGAATAATGCCCTTAACACTGATACTTCATGTATTTTTTCTCATTTTACAATTGTGCAAAGTTTATAGCACCCGTTTGTACATAAGGTGAAATTGCTAAAATTAAAGATTTAAGTGATGATAATTATTATCTGTAAATTAGTTAATTAGCGCAAGCACCCGGTATATATTGCGAGAAGCACAGCTGATGACATTTGTCGACGTAGCTGTTATGCCATACAACCACGGGGACTCTCGCTGAATACAATCAGATCAACAGATTGGTCAAATGGAAGATATGATATTTCTACGTTAATTGTGGAATTTTAAATCTCACACAAAGAATTATTATCTTTATTTCAATTACGCCAAGAGGAAGAAACCCCCATCGCATTAGCTAAGTATCTTGCCTACGGCCTTGATAGGAGAGATTTCGAAGACAATTTTGCAACTATTGGTAATTGATTAGCAGCAGTAACTTGGCTTAAACACGTCTTTAGTCAGTAAGGAGCCGTCATACATGTTTATATTATAATTATGGTTATACAGGTATAGCATATTCATTTATAATCGCATTGCCATTGTCATTTTCATCTTCCTAGGTAGATGCATTCGTTACATTGAAAAAACTTTGTCGTAAAACAACTATTAGGATCCAGGCCGTGTCATAGATAGTTCCTACATCTTTCCTCACCAGCCGGAGACTTTCATCACTCAACTGCGATTAAATGGTTCACTCGTCTAGACGTGCTTGGTATATTATACAACATATCCAATTTGAATAGTATTTTATCTACAAGCGGATTCTTCTTCAACGCGATTAATTATCCGGTAGAGGGCCACAATTAGGAGTTAGGGGGTTTAAAGGGTAGCAATCTGATGTTGAAATAAGCAAACCTACCTGTTATCAAACCAGGTCATCTTGTCGAACAGTAAGCCAACCATCAGAGCAAATGCACTCGATGGCCTTGAATGTTTCGCCCTTTCACTGACAACTGTGCGTAATTAACCAATTAATGCAATTTGTAAATTCAGGGCTTGATTTCCATATCTACAGGTAATAAACATAAAAAACTATTGAGGAAATTGACCCAGCATCATGAATGGTTAAAAATGGTTAAAAGTGCCTTTATGCTGGTTTATCGTGTACAGCATATGGACATTGGTTTTCTTCAAATTAAGCATGGTTATTTTACTTATGACATATCAGCACTAAAAGGATGATTATATTTTCTTCACATGGTGAGGAGATTTTAACAATACAGCTTAGAAGTTATGATGAATTTATATCAGTCTTGTTACACTGTCCTCTGTTACAGTATGAACGTTTTGAAATCTTTCACTTGCACATTTGTTTCCTCGTCCCCTGCCTGCTCGCTGCCCGGTCGAGGAAGTGAACCACCTTTTTGCTGCAGTACTGTCATAGATACACGTGCATGTACTCTCTACAAAGGGTGTAAATTGTTGTTTCAAAATTGTCTAAAGACGATCAAAAACTTAAGAAAAGCATGTTAAACAAAACTGTCAGTTTCTAAATTATTTCTAGGTTAATTTATTACTATAATAATAATAATAATAATAATAATAATAATAATAATAATAATAATAATAATTTATTAAGATTGCAACCCAGTGGGTTGAAGTTGTACATAGAATGTTAAAAAAATTTATAATGATAATAAAATAAATATTTGCATGAATAAAACTGAGTTAAAAGACTGCTAACTGAACTTTAAAATTATTGTACTTAGGATAAAAGACAACATAATACTATTGGAAATTTAAAAGTGCATATGGAATAAAAGAGCATCGGAATCTGTCGGTCTTAAATTTTGGCACTTTGTATCTATTGTTAGATCTTAAAAGACGATTGGAATGCTCGCTGTCTAGTTTTTGGATCACTTCCGTGATGGAGGTAGAGCTTAACTGATAAATTGCACTCGTTTCGGCAAAAAAATTGGTCATTTGCAGTTTAAAGGGATAATAACTCTTTGTATGAGATCTTTATTTCACAATAAAAACATTGTGAATAACTCATAGAAATATAATATATTCTGTTTTACCACAAAAATGGCAGTTATAGCTATTATTCTGATATCTGAGCTTGTCTTTAGACCACGTGACCTCCATTGATGGCTATACTCTGTTAAAATATCTTAAGTGATTTTAACAAAAAACCAAACTTTTTAGAAAAAAAACAGGGACTAACTTTGAATGTAAAAATGGATTCATTAACCATTGGTAAGTATGGGAAAATTGTTGTTTACTCCAGGAAAATTCATTTTTTGGCCGAAACGAAGAGTTATTATCCCTTTAAGATAGGTTTATAGATCATTATTGCGTCAACATTTGTAAATAAGGTATACATAAGCAATAAAGAGAACATGCTGAAATTTTCAGGAAGATTATTATCATTTTTACAAAAAAAGTCTAACTAAATTGCTTTATACAGTGCATCTTTAATGTCCTTAGGTACAAATGTATGAATAATTGCCAAATTGCCCTATCCTATGTTACAGATTTTATTCGATCAGTGATGTGGCCACTGTATACAGTTCTCATCACAATGTTAATGTTGTACAGACCGGTGACAGGTAGGTATATCATAATGAAAATATTTCCCTTTAAATAATACCACACTTCTGCTGATAAATTACTTGTAGCATTGTTTGGCCACTTGTTATTTTTGTTTTTCCAAGCACGGTGCAGTTCTCGACTTAAATGAACTAATCTATATTTATAGGCCTGCCTTTAATCTAAGCAAGTAGATTTTTTATCCCTAATCGGTCCCTTTTATGTAAATTGGTGGAAGCACATTTCTTCATCTTATATCTGTTATGTAAAACGGTATCCCCTTTGTCTTGTGTGTGAATTAACAATGATAATTACTTCCGTAAAAAATCTAGTACGAAATGTATCGCTCTGCACCATAAAACAAACAGTTATGTTTCAATGGCACATAGTAATCCAAGTGCCTCCTTATGACAAAACATCTCCCTCGAACACAGTCTGCACCCTGTGCCGTCTTGGAAAGAAGTTAAATATCCTACATTTATATCATTTCAGGATCGCACTTCAGATTCGCCACAATCAGCTGTGCACCATCTCCGGGTAATGCACTACAGGTCAGCTGTGCTCTTTCCTTTTGCTCTTCGTTGTGCTGTGACTTAGATCCGCGGATCACATATATCCGACCAACTTAAAACCAATGCCGCCTAACGTCCTTTAAGTTTTATACATTTTGAGGAGAAAATACAACGAGAACCCACTTTTATAGACCTATTCCATGGCAGACACCATTCTGGATCACTTAAGTGCTACGAGTGAATTAAAGACAAAGACAAAGACAAAATAAGATTATTCGACCAACAACACGAAGTGCTCATTTTGCTATTTACTAACGTGTTTTCATTGCTTGCTTGTATCTAGGCGCGCTGTTCTTGGCGGTCGTCTTGGAGATTAAATGACGGTCCTTGTGGCAACCCATGCACGGAAGCTGACATAGGGCAACTGTCCAATAGGGTACTGGGAAACTGGCGGTGCTTTATAGGTAAATAACTAAGACAACTGGTGAGCACATGTTAACATAGATAGATTCAGCATTGGCTAACATACAGTTAAATTTATTCACTGTAACGTATGCATCTATCTGGGTAGGTGAAAGTGACAATATAAATGTCATTTTCAACAAGTATGCTATTAACCAATTATAAAATGTATGACTGCTTCTTACTTTCTAAAGACATTTGTTAGGTAACTACAACATACAGAGTACGGGTGAGTGACGCTACTCAATATAATCTTAATCTCGCGCATGCAGTGATTTTCTTTTTTTATCTTTTACTTTAGGCTGCGGACCAGTAACAAACGTTGCCCCACATCGATACTTCCTCACTGCCATAGACAGGAGCGACTTTTGGCAACAGGGATACAATGACTTTACATTTAATCTGCCAAATGCCGGGGTGTTCACGGTTGGGTAAGTCTTTTTCTGTGCATCAATGCCGTTGGACGTCATATCCAGCAAACAGGTCACGTTCGGATCACGTGGCTAGCACGTTTCTATGACGTTAGAATGTGGTAGTAACGTGCTAGCCACGTGATCCAAACGTGAGGTGTTTGCTGGGTATCCTAACTCAAGTACATCTTCTCACAATTTTCACCTCTGCCAAGTGGAAACGCATCGGTACACATAATACAGTATATGTATATGTATATGTATATCGGATAAATACATTTTTCTCAGCGTGTAATGAAATCTATATATACTTATGTAATGAAAACTTTTTTATAATGCGCCAAACGCAATCCGAAATTCCACGGTTAGTGTCAGATCTAGTCATTTTCAAACTGTGATTGTTTCTCATTGTTTAACATATATTTAATTCCCTTATGAGACATATATCTGGTGGGTGAAAATGTTTATTCTTCAGCATCAGTAGAAAATCCAAGATGGCCACCATTTTCCACATAAATTTTGGGGTTTAATTATATAAATGCCAAGAAGTCACAGTTTTCTTTATTAATCAAGTTTGATTATCGATGTTTATCACATTTTTATTACCCCTTTTTACGCCCCAGATATACAGGTTGTTGCTGGGTAACGTTGGCCAATGGAGGGGGAAGCTGGGTCGTTATAACCGAATATAATGCCGGCATTCGAAGTGACACGGGAACACCAAACTCCAGTCCCATAACCACAAGCAAGCCACTTATTGAGTAAGCGTGTCTGAACAACCTGCGAAGATGTATACAGAAATAAAAAAATCATCCGATTAAATTGTGATGTAGCTTATGTATGTTATGTTAATAAAAGATATGACTTGAATTGTATTTAATTGTGCGGCAGTTCAAGAAAAAATTTATGCTTCCCCACAATTCACAAACCCAAATTGTACACCACCTAAATAAAACAGAATTTGCTGCTCAGATTTAGCAATGATGTACTATTGGCCAGTGGTCACGTAGTCATGGAAATGGACAAAATCCAAGATGGCTGATGTGATTTCTGCTCTTTTTCTTAAAGACACAAATGACTGATATTCTGAGGGAAATTCATCTGTGTAGTCGTAGGATATGATTCAAGTATTAAACGTTTCAATTTCTACACTAAAAATGATGTGATCGAAAGCTCTGTCAGGTAAAGCTCTATTTTTAGTGTAGAATTTGAAAAGTTTAATACTTGAAACAAATAGGTGATGAATAAAGTAATTGGAATAAACAGAGAACATGTAGGCACCAATGCATGTTGCTTTTGCTCAAATTTTGATCAAATGTAAGTGAGTTAATTTTTCACACATTCGACATGACCGCAGTGAAATACAGAGTTTATAGTGTGGATTTTTGTTGAACTACATCAACTACAGTGTATAAAGTATAAACACAGTAGGTGCAGATGAATACTAGAAGTACTTTTCTACATTGAAAGATGGATACCAACGGTATATCCTCACTGCAATTATTTGTTTACAAATGCAGAAATCACAACAGACATCTTGGGTTTTGTTGTTTTCCATGGTCAGGAGTATTTACTTAGCTGTTTCATACATTAATTTAATAGTATTCAATTGTGAATCATACTTCTAATAATATTTCATGTGTTTATGTTAAGAACTCCAAACAAAAAACATTTTCTAATATATTTTAATATACTAGCTCAATGAAATTTTGGTTATTATTATTATGACCAGCTTGGACATTACATGCGGATATCGATTTGAGATCCCGTACGCGGATGCAGACGGAGATACTGTGCAATGTCGCTGGGCAACGGGCATTGAGTGTGGTGGTATATGTAGCAGACTTCCAGGGGCCACTTTGTACCCAGTACGTGAACTCTCTTTCTCTTAAATTCTCTCTCTCTCTCTCTCTCTCTCTCTCTCTCTTTCTTTTTCTCTCTCTCGCACGCGCACATATGCATATACACACACAATTTATATTTCTGTTGCACTTCCACGCGCGCGCACGCTCTCTCTCTCTCTCACCCTCACCCCCTCTCTTTCTCACACTCAAACAAGCAGGAGCGCACAAAAACTCACACTCGTACAGCCAATTATCTTTTCATTTTCAAGATCATTATGCAATATCTTTTCGTTTTGTTAGACGGCTCAGTTTTGCAGTGAGTTTTACTATATTCATACCCAATTACCCAGGCAAACAAGCATAGAAGGCACGGACTGTACGCGGTCTCTGCTTTTTTAACTTCATTTCAGAATTGTACTCTAGTAATCCCGGCTTCTGCACGGCCTCTGTACGGTAACGGTCTATATGGAGTAGCAATAATGTTGGAAGATTTCCCAACGACCAGTATAACACAGGGGGGAGTGCCAAAAGACGAACTGACTCCGCTGTCAAAGGTACCATTACAGGTAAGGCTGATTGGCGGCAAATGCAGATCTTACTCATATTGAGTAGATCTTTCTCGTGAAAGAAGCGACTATAACAGTGTTTATCATGATGGACACTTTCCATCTAGTTCATTATTATAATTATTAGTATTATTATTATTTTTTTTTTTTTGTTTTACACAGCAAGTCCAGGATTTTAGTTTTAAGGGTAGCAAAGGGACTATGTCTTTTATCCTTCAGCTGCGCCATTTAAATGCGTCTTATATATATATATATATATATATATATATATATATATATATATATATATATACACACACTTTACAAGTTTTTTATACTTGTAGCTCAAAGACGCACTGTATATTATCTTTAAACAAGCCAACTTGCCCGCGCCATTCCTTATAAACTGCAGAGCCCAGTACCCGAATCATATGGTGTTAGATCAGATATAGCTCAGTCTGAACTTGCTATATTTTGGAGTCAGTCTGTCACGGGTGTGGTTTTCAACTCAATGTCTCCTGGCCCCGTTGTTTTAATTGAATGCGCAATATATTTGTAGATTGTGTTGCAAAAGAAGTTGAGCCAAAATCATTATGGAATGTATCAATTCTGAACATGGATATATTTTTGCCTGAATTGTTTTGGACCTTTGGAATGCTCATCAAGGGCCAATGTACGGGATAAAAATATGATTTAAAAAGAAGGGCAATATATAATTGAGAATGATGTTTAGTTTACTGCATAGCATAAAGATGGAGAAGTAATGGGTTTTACACCAGTTTGTTTTTCATTTCCATTGTATTGGGAGGCGGAAGGGTGTACTTTCGGGTACTTTCGGGTATGTTCGGGGTACTTTCGTGATACTTCCGTAAGCCGCCTTTGTACGTAGTCCCTTACAAACTCACCTGGTATACATTTCAGTATCTTGCTCGAGTAAAGGATGGTTGCGATTGCAACAACCTGCCAACTTTTTCAAACCCTCCAGCGAGTGAATTCATCGGTCCAGAACAGCTTTACACGAAAATCATTACGGCAACTTCCTCAAACGGGTATGTATATAAACACATATTGTCAGACAACAGTTGATCCTCACTATACCCTAGCCGAATGTACATACAAGCAGATATACTAACTATTGCTATGAATTACTGTTTTGAAATATTGTCACACCTTCATTACTTTTGTTATAAAAGTGACCCCTATATGCATGCAGTACTTAGAAATATTTTAAAATTATTTCTAATTATCTTTGCATCACTGGACAGACGAACAAAACACAAACACAGATTGATATATTGATTCATTGTTGAGCGCTCTGTGATTGCAATAAGCCACTTTAAGGTTCCGGTTTTACAAAGTCCGAGGCATTCCTCTCCTAACGCGAACTCGAATAAACTTTGGTGTCTTAACCATTCGTTTTGCTGTGTTACCACGCCGATGTATAGTCTACGGTTGTCAGTATATTTGGAAAGATTAATTGGAAGAAGATCCGCAAGAAGATTTGCGACAATGGCTGTGGCCTTCCCGTTTCATCTACCGGTAGTAATATTGATGGGCTTTGATGGGATTGGCTTGTAAATTGACTGTGGGCATCAAAAGAATCCTTATTACACTTTTCCTGGATGCACTTAGCCTTTTGGCAATTTCTTTAAAAGATTGTTCGTTGAGCCGGAAAATCGCAGTTTTGACTAGCTTACGTTGCTGTCTCATTTACACCTATAACCATGAAATATTTTGGACCTTGGTACCTTTCAAACAGATGTTTTATCCCACCAAACATCACATTCTTAATGTTTTGGGCCTTACCTCACCTCTTTTTGGTAGATTTGTCTCATTTTTACGCGAATTCAACTGATGCCTCTATGATATATTCATAATAGACGGACATATACTTATCATTATAACGTCAACCTTTTCTTCGCCTGTGTAGAATAAGAACCATCAACGTCATTCCGCCAGTCGGAGCAAATGTGGATCCAATAGTACCGATAGATGGCACCACTTCCTCTGTGACCTTGACCTGGACACCGACCACTTCGCAGCTTGGTGCGGTTCAGCTATGTTATGAAGCCATAGACAGTAATGGGTATGTAAAAACATAATTATCACAAGAACCATCTTAATAAAAAATAAGTTGTTACGGCCTTGGACGATCTTTTGTTGTTTAATTTCACTTGCTTGGTTTATCATTTTCATAGTAATCGTAGGGTATCGGGATGAATGCTCTTTGTTCACAGCCTGTNTTTTTTTTTTTTTTTTGTTTTACACAGCAAGTCCAGGATTTTAGTTTTAAGGGTAGCAAAGGGTCTATATCTTTTATCCTTCAGCTGCGCCATTTAAATGCGTCTTATATATATATATATATATATATATATATATATATATATATATATACACACACTTTACAAGTTTTTTATACTTGTAGTTCAAAGACGCACTGTATATTATCTTTAAACAAGCCAACTTATAAACTGCAGAGCCCAGTACCCGAATCATATGGTGTTAGATCAGATATAGCTCAGTCTGAACTTGCTATATTTTGGAGTCAGTCTGTCACGGGTGTGGTTTTCAACTCAATGTCTCCTGGCCCCGTTGTTTTAATCGAATGCGCAATATATTTGTAGATTGTGTTGCAAAAGAAGTTGAGCCAAAATCATATGGGAATGTATCAATTCTGAACATGGATACATTTTTGCCTGAATTGTTTTGGACCTTTGGAATGCTCATCAAGGGCCAATGTACGGGATAAAAATATGATTTAAAAAGTAAAAGAAGGGCAATATATAATTGAGAATGATGTTTAGTTTACTGCATAGCATAAAGATGGAGAAGTAAGGGGTTTTACACCAGTTTGATTTTCATTTCCATTGTATTGGGAGGCGGAAGGGTGTACTTTCGGGTACTTTCGGGTATGTTCGGGGTACTTTCGTGATACTTCCGTAAGCCGCCATTGTACGTAGTCCCTTACAAACTCACCTGGTATACATTTCAGTATCTTGCTCGAGTAAAGGATGGTTGCGATTGCAACAACCTGCCAACGTTTTCAAACCCTCCAGCGAGTGAATTCATCGGTCCAGAACAGCTTTACACGAAAATCATTACGGCAACTTCCTCAAACGGGTATGTATATAAACACATATTGTCAGACAACAGTTGATCCTCACTATACCTTAGCTGTAATGTACATACAAGCAGATATACTAACTATTGCTATGAATTACTGTTTTGAAATATTGTCACACCTTCATTACTTTTGTTATAAAAGTGACCCCTATATGCATGCAGTACTTAGAAATATTTTAAAATTATTTCTATTTATCTTTGCATCACTGGACAGACGAACAAAACACAAACACAGATTGTTATATTGATTCATTGGTGAGCGCTCTGTGATTGCAATAAGCCAATTTAAGGTTCCGGTTTTACAAAGTCCAAGGCATTCCTCTCCTAACGCGAACTCGAATAAACTTTGGTGTCTTAACCATTCGTTTTGCTCTGTTACCACGCCGATGTATAGTCTACGGTTGTCAGTATATTTGGAAAGATTAATTGGAAGAAGATCCCGCAAGAAGATTTGCGACAATGGCTGTGGCCTTCCTGTTTCATCTACCGGTAGTAATATTGATGGGCTTTGATGGGATTGGCTTGTAAATTGACTGTGGGCATCAAAAGAATCCTTATTACACTTTTCCTGGATGCACTTAGCCTTTTGGCAATTTCTTTAAAAAATTGTTCGTTGAGCCGGAAAATCGCAGTTTTGACTAGCTTACGTTGCTGTCTCATTTACACCTATAACCATGAAATATTTTGGATCTTGGTACCTTTCAAACAGATGTTTTATCCCACCAAACATCACATTCTTAATGTTTTGGGCCCTACCTCACCTCTTTTTGGCATATTTGTCTCATTTTTACGCGAATTCAACTGATGCCTCTATGATATATTCTTAATAGACGGACATATACTTATCATTATAACGTCAACCTTTTCTTCGCCTGTGTAGAATAAGAACCATCAACGTCATTCCGCCAGTCGGAGCAAATGTGGATCCAATAGTACCGATAGATGGCACCACTTCCTCTGTGACCTTGACCTGGAGACCGACCACTTCGCAGCTTGGTGCGGTTCAGCTATGTTATGAAGCCATAGACAGTAATGGGTATGTAAAAACATAATTATCACAAGAACCATCTTAATAAAAAATAAGTTGTTACGGCCTTGGACGATCTTTTGTTGTTTAATTTCACTTGCTTGGTTTATCATTTTCATAGTAATCGTAGGGTATCGGGATGAATGCTCTTTGT